CATGCTTTAGGGTGCGGGTTTGGTTCGTTATAAATATACACATCATTAAGATATTCCATACATTCAAAGGAGGACTGATCCCTAGTGCATAATAATTCCTGTACTATATTATATATGTTTGAGACCAGCCCCAATGGATTACTACTTCAGTGCAAATATTATGAAATACTGAACATTTACCAATTTATAGATACCACCGTTGGTTAAATCCTGACCACAAAACTTTCTCACATTTCGTTGACACCTTTTGTAAACATCCGTGACAATGTCTTGTATATAGTATAGCCTTGCTTCATGCTCTACTTAATTTAATAGCAGTGAACAGGTTTTTTCTTTTCATTTAACGCTTTTATTCCACCCCTATCCCCGGGGATCCCGAGGCGACATAAAACGTGCCAATACAGCAATCTATGTACATCTCTTCAACGAACTTACATTAGATACTAGATATTAAGACTAGATACTTTATAGTCTTCGTTTCAGTAACCATTTGACCTACTTTCTCATGTCACTATAAATACTTACATAAACGGTATGTAGGTAAAGTTGGGTAGTATTGACTCTTTATTCTTGTGCGATCACCATAACAAATCAACATAAAATAGAACGCCCTTAACGGCGTTTGAAATCTCAAAGGCAATAAACAGGTCTTATGAGACCGCCTTGCCGCAGACCTCATCAAAGGATTGGACATTTTTCTCTGAATATGTAAAGCGTTATTACTTTACTAAACGGGCGAAATACTTCACGCATTTACTAGTTCTTTATCAAGTTTTATTTAACGTGTAAAAAATACACGATGTGTATCAGCTTCGCCTGATAACCGAGACTTGTCATTCTCTGGTCTTGACGTTTCATGTTGTAAAAAGGTTTGATGTTTGTTTGTTTAACGCCGCAATCAGCATTATTCCAGATATATGATCTATAAATACATTGTAATCGAGTCTGGACCAGACAATCCAGTGATTGATATGAGCATCGATCCATGCATCAACCAAGTCAGCGCGGTGGACCACCCGATCCCGTTAGTCGCCTTTTACGACGCGCGTAGTCGCCTTTTTACGGCAAGCATGGGTTGCTGAAGACGTATTCTACCCCTAAAAAGTTTGCATTTCGCAAATTTATTGCAAATCCCTTAGAAATGATAAACCTAGTTAGTGTTCTGTATGTCATACAACCACTACAATAACATAATATATATACAAAAATTCGAAGTGTGTATTTCAGGACTGGACATATTCTATAATAATACATATTCCCAAGGCAAGAGCGTCCACTAGCTTCTTTTATCAAAGTCTTGTTTCCACTAGGCTTTGATATAGGCTAGTGGACACGCTTGCCTAGTAAAGATGAAAATAATAACAAATTAATGTTTTCAATTTTTTTTCCGCATAACGTATGTATGTTTGTCAACGTGACTTACTTTGAATCTATTCGGGTATCTATGATCATGAAAAACAGTTCTTATCACCAAATTATTCCTGTCTCTATGGTTCTGCACTCGGATGTCGAATTTCCTCACATGAGTAGCATACGTATTTCGCATAACTACATACATTACCTATAACGCATATATACTGACCTACTTCGCCCGAGGTAAACACCGCGGCGATATCTATTCATGCTTAAATATAACATCTGGTCTACTACTCGAATTTCATTTTCTTTCTAACAATGTATATCCAAGGTTCATACATATATTTATATGTCATATAAATTCATTCGTTTTTAGTCTACGTGTTGCGTCGTCTGTCTTTTATACATACATTCGTTGTTCAATTCAATAAATATTATTCGTTCGTTTTGTTAGTTTCTTCGTGTCTTATATTTCATCCAATTTTGACTGATATATACATCTATATGTATATGAAGACATTTGTAACAGGGCAGTGTGCGAAATTAAAAAATACAACGCATTATTAGGTCTGATTCATAAATATCCTTTACAGTAATAAGCACGACTATATACTGTCTCGCCCTTGACGATAATTACACATGTGTTACATTTCCTGCCATGATTTATGTGATGTAATCGATGAGCTCGCGCCGTTGAGTGACATGTGTATATTTCAATGCATTAGCGTCTGTTTGGATGGCATCAACCACACCTTACAAAATGACAGATGACATTTAGCAAATGCTTGAATGAATTATCATTATTTTGCAACTACGTTTCTGAAGTTTTTCGCGGCTGGTGTATTATGTAAAGATTTTAGGCATTTGCTCCCTATATGAAACATCCCCTGGATGTGAAGAAGCGACTGTGATGTGTATTACAATAGAAGCGCGTGTTTCCGTTTGGGATGATGACGGTATTGACGCACGGGAAATCGCTGATGTCAGAGGAGCGTTTTATTCCTGTACATCGGCAATAACTATTTAGGCTCTTGCACACATTTGGGTTTGGTCAAGATTTACAATGTAGGAACTCCCGTTATAAATGTCCCGTTTCAATTTACATTAATCTTTTTAAATCTTTATTAAGTAACTTTTTGATAAAATTTACTTAATATTGATGATTTATACTTAAACACATATCCGTCGAGTTCTTTTAAAGATAATGCGACATTTGATATGAATAAGTAACAAATCAAAAAGTTGTTATTCTTCATCTGTTTGTTGTTTCACGCCGCGCCCAGAAACATTCCAGCAATATGACGGCGGCCTGTAAATAATCGAGTCTTGGGTCATTCTAGTGATCGTTATTCTACGTCGTAACATTGTACATCTATTATGTAAAAATAATTTACGTTTGTTCTTCATGTTATTACGTAGCTCATGTACCATCGACGGTAGTTATCGAGTAATAAAGGATTGAATAAGATAGGTAACAGCTGGGAATTTAACTATGTTTCTTGATATTTTCAAGCAAAATTCAGCAATGTTGTTCGATAAAAATGTGATCAACAATTTATTTTGTATCGAAGTATAAACCCGGAATTGTTGGTATTTAGAAAAGCAATTTATATTTACGTAAACCAAACGATTGCAGTCTATAGTGTCACTTACAGATGACGTTAAATGCCAATGGTACACATTCGATAAACACTATTTCAAAGAAAAGTCCTAAGAAGTTTAGAAGTGTTACCTAGTAACGCATATATTATAAATCAAAATGATAGTTCTCCGTGAGCGAAGTATAGAATTTGATGAGACAATACTGTGAGGCTAAGCGCAAGAAGGAGCAATAAAAGTGGATTGCGTAATTTGAGTAGAGGTTGCGATGCCGGTGTAATCTCGATTGCGTCGGGTTTAATTAAACTTTGTCGAGGATATCCGCCGTGAAACAACGCGGATCTCATTGCAAAAATGCCATTTCTCTCGTATCGACAGCCTCACGTTTCGGTAACAGTCCGCGAGATCGGCCCTTCGCGTTAGCCATCGGTTCAGTTAATTACTCTCGCAGTTTACGCCACGATTCGGCGATTTTTTTTTCATCAAGTCGAGGCATGAGTCATACTATGCTCTATCATCATGAAACCTCAAGATTTAAACTTACCATCCGTAACAGTTCCGTAGCTACTTAACCTCGTATGACGTCACAGAATAGCTAGATATTCAATTGGGCATTCGTGCAGCATACTATTCGATGTTACTTTGTGGCACTTGTATATACGATACGCGACCTGAATAGCGTACAATGTGAGTTGAAGAAATCACTTGAGGCTGGTTTTATATCTTTGCTAAGATACCGGCTCCGTTTCGTGCCCCGTGCGTGTGTACCAGTAATACTGTTCTCAGTTGAAGGTCCTTTGTATGATTGGGGACCCGCCACAAATGCTATTGATTCGGGCTGGAAAATAATAGCAGCTTAAGCAAAGCTATTATCCCTGAGAAAGTAGTAGGACAAGGGACGGCACTTTAGTTTGGGGATACGGAGAAAGGCGACGTTGTACACTCGTCACCATCAAACTGAAACAAAGGCCGGATAATCAATTCCCCCGTCTTGAGACAGAAATAAAATCGTTTCCCGACGCGCTCACGAAAGGCCGCGAGTTTTGATTCAAAACAGCCTGCGCGAGTGCCGAGTGTGAGATGTAGAGAAATGTACTTTGATACTCTACGCACGTCCCTGCCCGAACCGCGTTGCTCCACCGACCTAGGAATAAACTCAGCCGACTGTGAGATGATTTAGGATAACCCAGCTCTTCGGTCGATCCCGCAGTCGCCTAGCGAATGTGAGCTCGTTTACCGTGAGACGCTGAAACATATGCAGATCGTTCCCCTCCCGCTCCATCCAGCCTCACCATGGGGTCTAAAGCCACACACGGATGTCCGTTATGTATTATCATGAATGTTGTCTCTACAAAACAACCCACGCGGGTGACATAATCTCTCCCCCCACGCCGAGTTCCCCCATTTACGGCGCCGTCGAATTTCTGTTAATCCGCCAAGCAGTTGGCTGGATCTCGCTTTAAACTGAAACAATAGCGGTACCCGCTTACACTGTGTTGTAAAAACACGTCTTTATCACCGCAAGCCAGATGAAAGCTATTGACGCAATGTTGAGGATATGAATTACGTAATGAACGACCGAGTCGCGCTACGGTTCAGCGAGCGGCGCGGTGTTTAGACGTGTCACGTTCTTTATCAATACCACGTGTGTGTGTAGTGTTTGATATGCGGATAACACAGCTCGGCTTTGACAAATGTATATTGCAATACCTGACCTTTACTGAAATTGACAACCCACTCACGGAGTCGTAAAAGTTTGTTAAAACAATGGAACGTGGTTAGAATATTTACATATTAACGACGTGGAATTTCATTTGCTATTTCGACAAGGGACGTGGAGTTAAAAACTTTCAAATAGTCATATCAGGCACGAATGGTTAACGTGACCACGGACTATTTTCCTTCATTCGCCGACCCTCGCGTATAAATACGGCGTCGTAGTTGTACTAGACATTGTTCAATGTGCGTGACTTATGCATTTATAAGCCAGTATCAAGTTACCTCTTTGTTCAACTTCTCTAATAGCACGTAGCGGCCAACGGGTTTTATTTCTATTCGCTCGAGGGGAGGGCGAACTTCCGTGCTTCGTGCGTGCAAAGGCCGGGACGACAGCGTTGCACGTGACAGACTTTGCCAATCGTAACTGACTCACGCATATTGATTACATACACAGTGTCACTAAATCGGCCGACACGGCGTCGACTCGCGCTCTTTGGAAGTTGGGACTGTACTCTCGTCAGATCGAGCCTAGCTGGTATTGGCTCCTGTCATTCAAAGCCCCTCAGTCGGGCAAGCGCCACAATCAATACCCACATGCCTTGCCGCGGTGAGCGCACACGGCCCGATATCACATCAAGGAGAAGGTTATTACTTCAGCGTGGACCGCCCCAGAAAAGTCTTTCTCGGTGTCGTAAATAGCTCACGGTCTTTACTGAAGGATTTCCAGTGAGAGGTTAGCTGTTCCTAAACTCTCACCAGATCGGTGAAGATAACTGGGCGAGCTGGAAGCTTCTGTGACGGGTCCATTATAGTTTATCGCGCTCTCCTCTCGAAATAGCTTCTCGGGCGAAACAGATTGATCAGCTAGCCATTCGTTTTTGTTGCATTGCTCTCCACGATGAGGCGACGGAAGGGTAATCGCGGGCGACCCAGGAAAGTTAAGAAAGGACGCTTTCCCAAACTGAGGGAGAGTATACCGTTTGATTCAAAACTTTGTGAAAACAACTCGAACGACCAGACGACAAGTTTGAAAAGTGACGACGCCGTGACTGGAGTTATCGGGCTGGATAAGACGGGGCCATTCAGCTACCGTGTCGGCAGTGTTAACATCGAACTAGAAGGATCTGAGGAGGATATTAAACCAGTCATTCAGGAGAATGACATTATGTTGGAGGTCGAGTGTGGATCAAATACCGCAAGTATGTTTTTGTCAAGACTTTGCCAAGGGAGCAAGGGGTCGTGTATTGAGTTCGATGGAGCCTGGTTAACTCCCAACGAGTTTCAGTTTGTCAGTGGACGGGAGACGGCGAAAGATTGGAAAAGATCTATCCGACATTTTGGACGAAGCTTAAAACTCCTAATTACTAAAGGAATATTGACTGTCCATCCCGCTGCTTGTCGATGCGACAGCTGTCGTCTGCTCTCCTCAACGGTACGTATTACTTCTCTACCGCCATACGACTCGCTGTGTTATCATTACAAATGGCCGCCATCTTGGGGCGGTCGAGCAGACGAGGCAATATGTCTGCCTATGATACGTGTAGGTCAACTAACCGACATTCAATCACGCTTTACACATTAATGAAGCTTTTAGCCGCTACGGAACACGTTGAATACTGGAGCTGAAACACCCATTTATACAACGGTTCAAGTTCCGTAGCACATCTCTTTGAATGTTTTTTGTTATTTGATGACGTAAAGCGACAAATTGAAAGCAGAAAGACAACACCCCTCTCGCCACTTCCCAAATCGCCATTATCCTCTACCGTCCTTCGTTACGGAAATGTTACAGCCAGAAGCGCGACTGTTTTTACTATCGAACTAATGTTGTTCCGTAGCATGAACGTGTCTTTGAACTTCTCAAAAAATGTAAACGTGTGCTATATATTGTAAGTGACATTAGTAAATAAGTATATATGTCCATATACTGAATTTTCAATTTTATCTCAACAGGGATTTCATCAAGCTTAACATTCCTCTTTTCGTATCGATTCCCCATACACTGATCTGAATTAATCATTTATTCACATTAAGCACGTGTTTATTGATGATTGGAAGGTGCACAGTTAATCGATAGCATGGTGACGACATCGATAGCGTGACGCTATTGTTCAAGGCAATTTTTCCCACCGCGCAAGCAACAACCAACACCGTTGTCAAATATACTGCTGATAAATATATCATTTTTCCACATTTACTTTAATTTACGGCGTCGTCAGTCAATACTGACTTTGCCGCACACCCTTATCTCGGTATGTTATCAGATGCGACTGGGTAGCGGTGCTTGATAGCTTTAATTGCAGGACTTTAGTTGATTTTTTTTGCATGCACGTACAAAAGCTCGCCATTATCTGGGCCCCGGCTATATGGGGAGAGCTTCGTGATCGAAATGCGTGAAAGATCACGCAGAAGGCTTGCCCGGGTCTTGTGTAACCTTGCCTCACTGATATCCCAAGTCCCAAACGTGTTTGGGAAACTCCTGCGGGCATTTGAACAAATGTTGAAATATAGCAGACGACAGTCCGTTCGTGACGTAAATACCGACACGCCATTATCCAATCAGATCTATCGATTAGAAGTAATAGAATATTTTTTCTCCCGATGGCGAACCCGATCGCTTTGTCCCTTGACGGAAATCCACATTCGTTTCAGAAAAGCCCGTCTGCAATTTTATCGCTACCTTCACCGCGGGACGCCATCTTGGCAGATCAGGCCGCGCACACGTGACGTAATTAGTGGCAGTGTCGAAAGCTTCCCGCCTTTCCCCTAGCCAACGTGACGTTTATTTACTGAGAGTTTTGCTCACAAAGCAGCTATTAATCCGCAAGTTCGGCACAGGAACCCGACACATGGCAGCCGTTAGAAGTAACGCTTACGACCGAGATTGCCATGGCCCCCAACGCACGCTAACGCCAGCCACATTCTATTGTCTATATTTATAATCTTTTAGATATACATGCGCCCCTGCACGGAATTCAGATATCGGTGTAACTTGATACGACGAGACATCTCCTCGACAGATGAGTGTCAGATGGTGCGAGGACTGCGCGTGTATTCGTAATACCAACATACGACGCAAATAAGCTATCATTTTACGTAATCATTTCTCACAAACGAATGTTAGGTTTTCGTGTGCACATTAACAGCGACATATGTTGGTTAATGGTTACACACTCGTGTCGTAAATACACCCGTGAACGCTACGGGACAGACAGAAAACGCGTAACGTTACTGATAATATGTCATCGTACCCCGACGTGACGGGTCGGTGCTCATACTATCGACCTAATGTTTGCCGAAACGCGTCATAAATGCCCCCACAACGTACACAGGTGACGACTACACTCTAAACATCGTATAAGTTCAAGCCACATTTCAAATGTTTAATGTCAAGGGAAATGCTAAACAGCAGTTCCAACGTTTTTCGTGAGATGCGCTTGCTGTTTCCACGTAAATTCTGTCTGTAAGATTAATGGACCATTCACGAAATGGGTATTGAAGCGTGAATGATTTCGTTTCGTTCTCTCTGAACGGTTTATTACCCCGCGATTCGGAAAGGAGTCCATTAATCGTAGAAGAAACCTCCCGACTGCTAGAACAAACACGTGGATATAAAACAAGCACGGGTTTATTGCTTCACGAGATGTTGCCATGGTAACCGCGATTGTAACGTACGCTCTGCATTTATAAGCATAAGGTGTATATGTCCCTTTGAAATGCAGGTCTGTTGATACGCACGGACGGATACGTAATATTTATTTCAACGCCTTGCTCGCAGCCTGGACAATTGTTCGTGAAAGTAATCACGTGGGCAATTTGCATAAGGGCTTCAGCTCAACGTGTTTAGCATAAAGGGGATGGTAATGTTGTCGAATTTCCTCCATTTTGGGATCATCGACAACCTGGCTCCAAACAAAAAGAGCCGTGACATTTCTAGCCGACAAAAATGCCCTTGTCACGACTTGGGTTCTAACACGTGTCAAACGCGAGATGTCCCACCGCTAAGCGAACGTACTGTTTGCAGTCGAGCGGTGTCGATTATTGAGACACATTAAAACGAGTGAATACTTTACGCTTTATGGGCCAGACTCTACATAAATTGTTTCCAAAGGCAATGTACGTAATCGATTTGCACAAAACGGGATAAATCCATAAAATTCCTGTCATGTTTTGAGGACCATATGTTGCCGCGGCGCACGTTCTCTTGCAATGTACAACGGTTACAAGCGCTCGTGACGGATATGGACATCTGAATTTATCATCCTGGCATGTTACAACTGTCACGCTTTATGAATAATATATGGCACATGAACGTATAAATATATCATTAGCGTTACTAACACAAACAATGAGAGCACAATGCGTTTATTCGGTTGGGAACAGCTTTGTGGGCCTTGTGTATACTCACGTATCACATTTGCCAATGTAAAAATCAATATTTATACACGTGTGTGACGTACATTTCACCAATCAGCTGTGGCTCCGTGAACTGTGTTTTATGCGCTGTAGATGCATAACCTGGAGTCAAAATGGATATCATAAATTTTAGACAGGCAAATAAATTGCCAAGCCATGCTCGAGGCATTGTTAAACAGCACCGACTCGTTTTAGATTACTTACCGTGACCCGCAGTGCGCATCCACCTATATTTATCCTTCATTTACCGTGGCGGTGCAATCTACACGGACTGAGCGGGTGTGAATTGCTCTGACATATACAACTTGCGCCACGTCGGCTTTTTGAAATCTACAACATGATCAATAACTAATGATATGCATTATTTATTGTCGACGTGCTGGAGACGGTGTTGTTGAGGACTTGTAAATTTCATTTACGACACCAACCTCCGCAATGGCCGGTATGTTCAATGTAAGTAGCAAACGTGGTTAATTTCAGTGTGTTGTTGTACATTACAGCGGTGATGGTTTGAGCACGGCAGGAAATGTACATATGCCGGGCGCAATGTGCGTCACTCAAGACGGTTCACGCAAATAGAACATTATCGTGTTACTACCGTGGATCGTGCTCGCCTAAAAAGGAATAAAAAGGCCGGGGGAAGTACATTTTATTGAATTTGGCCTACAGCGGAAAATGAATGTAATTTTTTTTAAAATACAGCTTGATTTTATTTCGTTCTCTTGGCTCATTCATCGATTTACGGAGCCGTAGACACGAATACTCGCCGAACATTCGCGGTAAATGCTGTTCTTTTCATGGAAAATCGGCTTGATAGAGGCCGTTCTCTCTTCACCACGGCACCGATGTAATTAAAGATGTATTTGCAGGCGATACGACCAGTCTTATGCTATTATCAAGGGTCAGTAATTTTCCACACCTCGCCTCTTCTTGTGTTTAATGCGCTGAACATTTGCACACGGTGCAATAGGGGTTATTACGTCACGACTTTTCTTATCTAACCACCACAATTAATTGTGCCTGTTAACCTTTCAACCCGATACCCACGGAGTATATGTTGCTGATAATGAATTGTCAGACGCCGCGTCCGCTTTAGGAAGTATTGACATTTTACACGTGTGCTAAATATCTACGCGTCTCTCAGCGTAAATAGTGCGCTTGTTTGTTGGAAGTGAGATGGCGGCAGTACCACGCATACTGGACTCGATGCCTGGAAGCAGTTACAGACACTTTTCAAACATCATTTTTAATCGATTACGTCTTGAAATCTAATTTTTAAAAGGACACGTGTCTCGTATTCCGCTGAATAGTCTCTATGAAATGCGACCGTTGTTTGAAAGGCTTGGGATTTTTAAACTGTGTGCGTACAACGCTATGCAACTAGATGTTAAAACACAGGATGATTTATGCTTCAGCAACAATATGTTTAACCCGGCAACATCACGCAAGAAAGAGTGCCGCAGATTAAAGGACTGCTGTCGATTAAAGATGCTGTCTTAATCAACCGATATACGTTTAATGTCAGTTATGGTTTTGATATCTATAAACTCTAATTAGTATGAAACTGATGCAGCAAACTAATATTCAACTACGACGAATCATTTCTGTGGAATGTGTTGAATGTGATTAATATACGTTAATGCCAGATTTAACTGAAACCATACTCCTTTAAATATAGTACATGTAATGCTTCATAGGATGAAAAGTATATGGTGTTTGTACATGCAACGTGTAGAGTGACAGTTTTGGGACTCTCCTAATCTTTCACAGCTTCAGTTGTGTTTTCTAATTAAAATAGTCCCTCGACGCTATTTCCGGCACGTGGGCGATAAACGAGCTGTCTTATCCATTCCCAGCAATCTGCAAAACGTGGTGATGATGGGGCGTTGTTTACCTTATCTCCATCCGCATCATAGCTGCATAGAAACTCATCTTCAATAAACGTGTTAGGCAGGGTGTACGTAATATGTAAATTAACCTGTAATGTGTAAAGAACACACTTTTAAAAAAACTTTT